AAAGACGTAATTTGAATTTTATTAACAATTAATTTAGAACAAGAAATTCATATCTTGTGCCAAAATGCATTTGTTAAAGTCAAACGTTTGGGCTCCAAGATGGCGGACGAGTCAGCTCCCCTTTATCTAGTAGCTCTACCATGGACACGCGCGTCACAGGCATCTCGAACGTGCCGATTGGCTGTCGAGAGAGAGAAGGTTTTCCGGGGGATCCGGACATTCCGGATTGGTTCGTCGCGTGACAGATGTGACGTCACATTGATTCGGCGCGTCACGCGACGTCCCGGCACGTCCGCAGGATTGAAAAACTGCGTTTCATGAATGAGAGGGCAAAGTGCTGTAAACTTTCATTTATTCTTGTTACTCTTTACCCCAGTAAGCTAGTTTACGACAACCACGTGTGACGAACACGAGACGTGACAAGAGGTGAACTTCAGTTGACGGAGAAGAGCGGAGGGGTAGACCGCTTCAAAATAGCATCCGCTTTGCCCTCGGGGTGGAGGGGGTTCCCCGAGAAGTTTGTACTGCGCCGAAATTTACGTGAAATATAATCTTATCGGCGCTTATCGGGTCTCATTTTTGCGCTTTCTAGAGCCAACACCTGTCGCACGCACGTCTCGGTGCGCAGTTACGCTCGTTGATGTGTGCCGTGGTTCGACTGCAGTATGTGGAACGTCGGGAGGCATCACGCGAAAGTATTGTTAGGAGCGTACAACGCTGCGAGGTGCGCACTTAGCCGGCAATGCCTGTTCACGAGGACCGATGTCGTGCGACGTAACGACGCCTCCCTGAGGGAGTACTGTTCGAAGTTCCTGCTGCGAAAGGTAACTCCGACTCCGGCAATGCAGTCTGAATAAACTGAACATTCAACACAAACAAAATTCAATGTTCCCCTGCGCGATATTTTATATTAATGTGTATTTGCAAGTTGTCGCCTATCATGTATTATTTTTTTATCCCAGTTTCACTGAAGATGACCCGAAAGTGGGTCGAAACGTTTGAATATTTCGACAAATGGATTAAATATTTCCACATTGGATAATTTCGCACGGACACCTGTGGTCAGCTCGCATTGGCCCCTTCTCCCTCCTACTCGTTATTTTATTTTATTGAAAGCCGTTACTACGATTTGGATTAAACTGAACATGTTCTAATCTCGTCAACAATTGACAGGGACCGCCTGAACAAACGAACGTCGTGACTCGTAATTATGCCGCAAAACCGAGCAGTAAAAGCGACAAGATTGTGGGGTCCTGGTTGCTCACCTGCGGCGGCATGGTTTTCGTCGCGGTCGCCTTAGGTACCCTCATTTATCTTGTATACTATCATTACATCTGCGTGATAATCAAGAGCATCGTAGAAAAGACGTATGGAAAATAGAATCTCAAATGCAACGGCCTTTAATACACGCAGTACCTACGAGCAGTTCAAAGTTGTGTAACACTTAATAATTGTATAGTAGACATTAGAGTAAATAAAATTGTATTTAAGAAACGGACCGGAGATCATTTGCCCTTTTTTCTGTGTACTCAGGCGGCGTGACGAGACTCACCGAGTCAGGCTTGTCTATGGTCACCTGGAAATTGCTAGGAGAGAAGATGCCTCGGACCGAGGCTCAGTGGACATCGGAGTTTGAGCGTTACAAACAATTTCCCGAATACAAGATGTAAGGAACATCGCGTTGACGTCGAGAACCCGGTGTGATGCCTGGAATTGTACATGTACGCTGTTAATTCTGCCGTAGAACCAACCACAGTATGACGTTGGAGGAGTTCAAACGCATTTGGTGGATGGAATATTTGCATAGAACGTGGGGACGTTTGATCGGCGCTGTATTCATAATTCCAGCAGGATATTTCTGGTATAAGGGTATGCTGCAACGTGGAATAAAAAAGCGCGTTGTTATCTTAGGATCGCTGATTGGCCTGCAAGGACTCATGGGATGGTACATGGTTAAATCTGGATTGGAAGACCGTTTTACGGAACCTTCGGACGTGCCACGGGTGTCGCAGTATCGTTTAGCCGCGCATCTTGGATTGGCGTTGTTCTTGTACACCCTGTTTCTCTATAACGGCTTGCGTCTTCTGATTCCCGCTCAAAAACTGACCGCCGAGTTCTCTGGCACCACAAGTAATACACTGAAGGCGCTGAGAAGATTCAAAGGATTGATTCACGCGACGAAAGGGCTGATATTTGTCACTGCTTTGTCGGGAGCACTCGTGGCTGGAATGGACGCCGGTCTTATTTATAACACTTTCCCAAAAATGGCAGATAAGTGGATACCCGATGAAATACTTGCCATATCGCCTGTATTGCGAAACTTCACGGAAAATGCAGCCACAGTTCAATTTGATCACAGGATTTTGGTAAGCCGCGCGGTGCAGTCGTTAAGAATTATCTGGCTGTGCGTTATTTCATGTGTATATTATTTGTGCAGGGAATCACCACCTTAGCCTTGATAACTTGCTTGGGTGTTTTGTCCCGTAAACATCAACTTCCTGGTCG